ATGCCTGGGACAGAGGCGTCAGGCCTGGGCAGGGGTCAGAGCCAGTGATCGGGGGCAGATAGAGATCCCCTGTCCAAGCCTGACACCACTGGCGGAGGCGTCAGGCCTGGGCAAGGGGCCAATCAGGCGATCAGAGGGTGATGGGGGTCTACACCTCTGGCCGAGGCATCAGGCCTGGGCTGGGGGCAGAACCAGTGATGGGAGGAAATGAGGGTCCCCTGCCCAGGCCGGACACCTCTGTCAGAGGCATCAGGCCTGGGCAAGGGACCGATCCTGCGATTGGAGGGTGATGGGGATCAATGCCTGAGGGCTCCCAGTATGTGAGAGGGGGCAGGCTGGGCTGAGGGACACTCCCCCTCACCCCCCACTCAGTGCACAAATTTCGTGCACCGGGCCCCTAGTCTATAATAATAAAAGGGTAATATGCTGATTAGACCAGGGCTACAAGTGAAGCCTGGATCCTGGGTCCAGAGGGAAGCCCGTGCCGGCAGCTGGGGGAAGGAAGGCCTACTCTTGCATGAATTTCATGCATCAGGCCTCTAGTCTATATAATAAAAGCCTAAGTGACCCTTATAGTGGAACGGCCAGAGCTACCAGTAGCTATAATGCACACTGACCACCAGGGGGCAGATGTTCAATGCAGAAGCTGCCCCCTGGTGGTCAGTACGCTCCCACAGGAGGAACACCGCTCATCCAGAAGCCAGGTTCATGGCTGGCAAGTGCAGTGGAAGTGGCAGGAGCCTCTCCCACCCCTGCGGTATTCCTAAGGATCAGCAAGCATGCAGGCAGTAAGGAGCAAAGGGTCCCAGACTGAGAGAAGGATGTCTACCTGTCGGCTTAGGCAGACATTCCCCTGAGGGGTACCGGACTGCGAGAGGGCACAGGCCAGGCTGAGGGATCACCCCCTGCCCCATTGCACGAATTTCATGCACCAGGCCTCTAGTATTGTAGTAACTATGCATATTGCCAGGTGGGTATTAGAAATATCTGGAGGGTCGCTTTTTCGCAACGGGTTTGCCGCCAGAACACAGGTGTCGTGAAAACCACTGCTAACTCAAACCCAAGATGAGAAAGGAAAAGACTCACATCAGCATCGTCGTCATCGGACACGTAGATTCCGGCAAGTCCACCACTACCGGCCACCTGATCTACAAATGTGGGGGCATCGACAAGAGAACCATCGAGAAATTCGAGAAGGAGGCTGCTGAGATGGGGAAGGGCTCCTTCAAGCACGCCTGGGTCTTGGATAAACTGAAGGCCGAACGGGAGCACGGTATCACCATTGACATCTCCCTGTGGAAATTTGAGACCAGCAAGTATTACGTGACCATCATTGATGCCCCAGGGCACAGAGACTTCATCAAAAACATGATTACAGGCACATCTCAGGCTGACTGTGCTGTCCTGATTGTGGCTGCTGGTGTTGGTGAATTTGAAGCAGGTATCTCCAAGAATGGGCAGACCCGTGAGCATGCCCTTCTGGCCTACACACTGGGTGTGAAACAGCTGATTGTTGGTGTTAACAAAATGGATTCCACTGAGCCACCCTACAGCCAGAAAAGATACAAGGAAATTGTTAAAGAAGTCAGCACCTACATTAAGAAAATCGGCTACAACCCTGACACAGTAGCATTTGTGCCAATTTCTGGTTGGAATGGTGACAACATGCTGGAGCCAAGTGCTAATATGCCTTGGTTCAAGGGATGGAAGGTCACCCGTAAAGATGGCAATGCCAGTGGAACCACGCTGCTTGAAGCTCTGGATTGCATCCTGCCACCAACTCGTCCAACTGACAAGCCCCTGCCTCTGCCCCTCCAGGATGTCTACAAAATTGGTGGTATTGGGACTGTCCCTGTGGGCCAATTGGAGACTGGTGTTCTCAAGCCCGGCACGGTGGTCACTTTTGCTCCAGTCAATGTGACAACTGAAGTAAAGTCTGTTGAAATGCACCATGAAGCTTTGAGTGAAGCTCTTCCTGGGGACAATGTGGGCTTCAACGTCAAGAACGTGTCTGTCAAAGATGTTCGCCGGGGCAATGTGGCTGGTGACAGCAAAAATGATCCACCAATGGAAGCTGCTGGCTTCACAGCTCAGGTGATTATCCTGAACCACCCAGGCCAGATCAGTGCTGGATATGCACCTGTGCTGGATTGTCACACAGCTCACATTGCTTGCAAATTTGCTGAGCTGAAGGCGAAGAAGAACTGTTTGTCTCAATTGGCCATTTAAGTTTAATAGTAAAAGACTGGTTAATGATTACAATGCATCGTAAAACCTTCAGAAAGAAAGGAGAATGTTTTGTGGACCATTTGGTTCTTTTGTGTGTGTGGCAGTTTTTAAGTTATTAGTTTTTAAAATCAGTACTTTTTAATGGAAACAACATGACCAAAAATCTGTCACGGAATTTTGAGACCCATTAAAATAACAAAATTTAATGAGAAAAAAAAAAAAGAAGTATCTGGAGGGTCACTTTGTAAAGTATTAGGTTGTCTGACCACAATGCTGTACACCTGAAAATAACACAGTAATGATGAAAGTAAACTGCATTGAAAAAGAAAGACCTTTGTTTGCTCATCTCTACAGAGCACACAGTTGTGCTTCAGGCAGGGCTTCCAGGTCTCTCTCTAGAATTCTCAGCTCCTGAGGTCACAAAGACAGGCAGATTCCAGAATCCTGCAGTTGGGTCCAGCTCTCATTCTGCGTATTGGCAGCGATGAGGAAAAAGCCTTTCTGTTTTCCTACTGTCCCCAGCCCACCCTCGCCCCCTCCCACTTCCCCTGCCTCTTCCTCCTCACCTGGTTTCCCACACTGCCTTTGGCAGGCCCCCACTCAGAGCCCTCAGCCTGGCCCTCCCCTTGCTCCCCCACCTCGCCAAACCAAGTTGCCATCTCTCACCAATGAGCACCCTCCTCACTTGGTGGCCCAAAAGGCTTGCAGCCTCCACAGGTCCCCTGGAGTCCCCTGCTCCCACTACCCAGCCCATCCCCCTTCTCCTCCTTCCCTCCACCCTGTCCAGCTGGCCTCCCTCTCTGCTCTTCACTCTTCCTTTGCCCCACACCCCCCTTCTGGACCTTCACGGGCCTGCAGACACCTGGGCAGGCAGCTCACCTGCCTACCCTCCCCTCCTTCCCAGTCACCTCCTCCCACAATCTCCCCTCTGTTGGGCCATTCTTCAAACTGTCCCCTGGGACAGGAGTCCCTGCCAATGGGAACCCAGACCTCTCAATGCTTCAGGAGTCAGGCACCTGCTGGGCACAGGGAGCAAGACATGGTGGGCAGCAGCTACAGGTAAAACTGGTGGGCCCTCCAGCACTCCAGAAAGAGCCATCTCCACAGAGTTATCAGCCCTCTAGTCCACCTGGCCTGAGTCTCCAGGTGGATATCCCATCTGTGGATTGGTCCTCAGGCCAAAGAAAATGTAACAGGCTCCTGGGTATCCACACATGGGTCCTACCAGGCTCTCAGAGCTGCCATTAGAAGGGAGTGGCGGGGCTTGGACTCAGGCCATCTTTCCCTGCAGGCCCTTCCCCTCCACGTGGCCAAGCACAGTCCCCTCATTCAGAAGGAGTGACTGTGTCATGTGCCTGGTACATACCCCACCCCCCAACCAGCTTTCCCAAGAAACCATGACTAGGAGCCCTCTGGCTAAGCAAAGACTGCCTGGGATGGGGCACGATGGCAGTGGGAGGAGAAGTGAATCCCTGCTGAGAGAAGCCTAGGACCCCTCTGGGGCAAAGCGCCCTGTTCACTCTGGTCCTGGGCAGTTGCTGGTCATCAGCTTAGCTCAGACTGGACTGTGTTTCCGGAGCCTCCTTGGGGACAGCCTTAGGCTTCTGGGGGTGTGGGAGAAAGTTGCATCTGGAGATGAGAGCTATCTGAGAGAGAGAGTCTCACTGAGGCTTCGGGGCCTCCACACCTTCCTTCACACCCTTCCCTGCAGGCCCCAGGGCAGCCAGGGCTACTCCCGCTTCCCACCTGTGACACAAGCAAGACATGGCCAGACTGGCCCGAAATGGGGGAACCCACATTTAAACTCTTCTGTCTGCCCAGCTGGGCGAGACAGCTCCAGATTGGACCACCGAAAATCAGCAGCACCTCCCCTTCTACCTCTCCGAAAGGTGAGTCTTGGGAATGCTGACTGATTGTGGGGAGGGGGACCCCTGAAAACTCACATACCACACTGGCTACCTGCCCCTCCAGGGGTGGCCTTCCTGACCACAGCCTGGGATGTTCAGGGACCAGGATTGTACTTTCTTTTAGCCCCTGCCAATGTCTTAGTCTTGATAACTGCCTTTCTGTGAGTGAAGTCATGCTCTGAAGACACACCTGTGACTGGCACAACTGGCAACCCTTCTCTAGGATGCACAGCATTGGCCGACCATGGGAGACCGATCCCTCCTGCTGATGGCCTTGAGTTTGCCAATGATTGTGAAGTAAATGCAGTCTGCCAGACACCCCAACCTTGAGCTCTTATTTCTTTTTTTAAACATATTTTTTTATTAATAATTTCAGAATGGAAGAGAGAGAGAGAGAGAGAGAGAGAGAGAGAGAGAGAGAGACATCAATGATGAAAGAGAATCCTTGATTGGCTGCCACCTGCAACACCCCACACTGGGGATTGATCCCAAAACCCGGCATGTGCCCTGACTAGGAATTGAACCATGACCTCCTGGTTCATAGGTCAACACTCAACCACTGAGTCACACCAGCCTGGCTTAAGCTCTGATTTCTAATGTCAAGAACAGGTGGAGAGCCTAGCAGACTTCGAGGAACCTCACCACAAGATCCTTCCTCAACACTTAGCCCCCATCCTCCATCCCTTTCTCTGCTTTGGGGAGGGTTAGGTTCTACCCCAAGAGGAGCCTGACCTCTCCACAACCTATGGTCCCCCAGGTATCCGCATCTCAGACAGGACTGACCAAGGACAAAGCTGTGCAATGTCCACCCAAGAAGGGAAACCAATGACCCAGTTCCTTGGGGCCACAGGACAGCAGTCCTTTTCCCTAGAGCTCCCCAGCCCTCTACCCAGGGCAAAGGTAAGACTGGGTTCTCTGAGGCTCAGCCCCGACCCCAAGGGGCAGAGCAATGCAGAGACCTGGGGAGGAAGCCTGTGGTTCGGGTTCATGGTTGACTAGTCCCATCCCTCTCCTCTCTGTCTTGCCAACTTGCCCTCTTAGAAGATGCGTCTGACCCCTGGGTAGGGAGGTGGGATCCATGACAGTAGCCTATTTTCTTTCCCAAGTGCTACCTGGGGAAGCGTTTAGGCAGCTCTTCAGAAAGGCCAGGCCCTTCTACTGATCCTGGAAGCTGTTGACTGAGACCTGGAAGAGATGCAGCTGGAGTCAGGTTCCCATGAACACACTGTGGGACTTGGAGGCTTTATTTCTTCCCTCCCAGAAGGGCGGTCCAATTTCCTGAGGGAAATGAACAGAGGCAAGGTCATGGGACCTCATGGAGAGCTTCTGGCTGCCCCTGGGCCTCGGAGGGAGGGGGCTGGTGCGAGGGCCCAGAGCCCCCTTGGAGCCCTGCCCTCGGCCTGCTGCTTGGGGTCCCCAAGAGATTCATATTTTCCAGAGCTGGTAGAATTAAGATGACGGGCAATCTTCACTGACCTTCTCCTCACTCAGTGTCCCAGCAACCAGTCAACCTCCCTTCGTCTGTCCTTCAACTGAGACGCCATCAGGAAGCAGCACATATTTCTTACAGTGATAGAAAATATGTTAAAACCATTTCACAGAAACACAGGCCAAAATGAAGGGAGGGCTGGCTCAACCAGTTTTGGGTCATCTGGTTACAGAAAGATAACTTGATTGTCCTTCCTATTTATCTTATATTAAATAAAATGCCAGTAAGTGGTCTTTTGTAAAGAAAATCAATTTTGTATGAAGCCCATCCTGACAGCTTCACTTCCTCAAATGGCCATTCAGAAGGCCCTTGCCTGAGGTTTTACATGACCACCCAACCATCAATATGAGAATGACTAACCAAATATCAACAGATTCAAGCATCTTGCTCTCCCTGGTACATTTTCTCCATTCTACTTCATGATTTCAACAGCATCTATGCTGCATAGTTTACAGATTTTGAGAAATTAGCATTAACCTTCTCCTAGATTTGGCCTTTACCATGTGATTTTTTTCTGAATGATTCAGGACAAGACTTTTTTCAATGGCTGACATTTTTACCCAGAATCCACACTCTAGGTAGTTGCTAATTATCATATACTGCATTTTTATTTAATGTTAAGTCATAAGAACCAACCTAAAATCAGGGTTATCTCATTCAAGGAAAGCAATTTAAAATATTATTAAATTTGTATTTAATTTGTTAGCACACACTTTAACATTGATTAATAAATTTAGAAGACTAGGAAGACAAAAGGAAGAATTGGGAAACACTTCTTGGCAAAGGAGAGCTAGCTCAATTTAGACCAAAAGAGTCACAACTTCTAATCCTTTTCAAAGAAGTGTAAAAGAAATCATAAGTATTGATTACTTGCCCATTAATCTCCAACCAAACTTTAATAAGCCCATGATACCTTGAGTGATAACTCAATAAGAGTCTAGCAATTTCTAATAAGAAATTCATCTGTGGGGATCACCCTAGACTTTTTATAGACACTTTTTTATAGATGCTTAGATACCATGAGCTGAGATCCACCACTTTGATGGGCTCCTGGTCCACTGCATCACTCCTGCAAGTAGCTACTCTCCGGTCATCACTGCTGTCCACAGGGTATTCTTGGTGTCCCTTTCCAAGACTTGGTCCTGGCCACTGGCTCATCTTCAAGGCACCCTCACAGATTGGCATGATCTTCCTTTGGCTTTTGTGACTTGTAGTTGTTCTGCCTCTGACAGCTCCCAGCCATACCATGGCTCCAGCATTTCTGCCAACCCTTTTTAAAGTGCTCTTTCCCAGGTTTAGTTCCTTGGTTATTTTCTCACACTGCATTGTTTCCTACAAATCCACGAGCTTCCTCCACTGTCCTTCCACCGATGTCTCCCCGCCCTGTATCTCCATGGATGAGGAATCTTCTTTAGGTCTACGAACACTCAGGTCCAAAATGAAACTACATTCTGCCCAGCCCAATCCTGAAGGCCCACCCATGTGATATCGCCTACATTCCATCTAGTCCCACTTTCAGAAACGATACAGTTGTTCCTGACTGCACATCATTCTTCCTCTTACCTAATTCATTTGATTCCCTGGCCCATTAGGTTTCCTCCTAATCACTCCTGGAATCAGCATTTCCTCCTCCACCCTCAGTCCAGGCAGCCTCTCCTCCAAGAAATATAAAGAATGTCTTGTTCACCTTTGCATCCCAAAAGCTGTGCACATAGCAGGTCCTCAGTAAATGATTTTTTATTAGTGAACTGAAACAGGGTTTTTTTGTTTGTTTGTTTTTTGTTTTTGTTTTTTATTTAATTTATTTATTGTT